TTTTTTTTTTTTTTTTTGAAAGCATTCTTTGTTCTTCATTGACTATTCATTTCTCTATTGTCTTCCCCATCCTCTGCTTCACTGATAATCTTGCCTCCCTACAGCTTCTGTATTTTTGCCCTTTCATTTTTGCATAAAGCTCTATGAAGTTTTTCTCTTTGATCTCTGAATTTCCTATCTTGATGTAATGTAAGAAACTATGTTTTACTTCTGAAAAAATGCTATTGCTCTCCCCCACCAAGAGTTTAAGAGAAGAGTGGTATAACTAGCTTTTCAGTACAATTGTTTTTCTCTGCCCTCCTTGGGGGGTTCATAACATACTTAAAATTCTATTTCATTAGCATCTTAAACCATACTAAGGAAGGCAACAGACCCAATGCTTAGGAGACCTAAATTCAAAGCCCAGCCCTAGCTAGGACTATACACTTATAATCTCAGTTACTTAAGAGGCTGAGGCAGGAGGATATCAAGTTCCAGATCAGGTAGGGCAATTGAGATCCTGTCTCAAAATAAAATTTAATAGAAAGTCTAGATGTGTACCAGCCACAAAGCACCCCTGGCTTCAATCCCCAGTACCACACACATACACACTGTCAAACTTCAATTCATACATTAACCACAAAACTTTTGACAAGTTACTAAATCAAGTGGAAGTATGTATAATACTTATTTGTTGTCTTTAGAGTGAAATGATGCAATGTGTTAATTATTGAAACAGTCCTATCAATTTGATTTGAAACTGTCTCATTGCTATTTGTTTCTCAATAAAATTATGAAAAAAAAGAGTGAAATGAAATAATGAATGTAAACCACAGTGCTTGCCATAAATGTCTATTAGTATAATTTATAACAATTGGCATAACATGTTTGAAGGGCTGAGGAGAACATGAAAAATATGAATGTGAGCACTCGTGTCATAGTTGCAATCCTCATAATTATATGAAGCAAACTGGGGATTGAACTCTGGGCCTTTGCACTGAGCTACACCTCCAGGTTTTTTTCTTTGTTTTTGAGACAGGGTCTCACTTTGTAGTGCAGGCTGGCCTTAAACTCCCTGTGATCCTCCTCTCTCAGCCTTCTGAGAGTTAGAATCACGGCTGTGCGCCACCACACCCAGTCCAGCCATATTTTACTTTTTACTTTGAGACAGAATCTAGCCAACTGGCTAAAATGACCAGGCTGAGATTGAACCTGAGGTTCTCTTAACTCAGCCTCCCTGTAGTGCTGTGGCTACAGGCACACCACTATGCCCAGCCCATACTGAATTCATGCATATTTACAAACTACAAGATTTTCTTTTAGGTTCAGTAATAATTAAAGGAGAGTGTTTTTTGACAAACTTCTCACATTTTTGTCAAAAGGTTTTAATTTATTGTTTATTTATTTGTTTGGTTTGTTGTTTAAGACACGATTATACTGGGATTGGTGAGATAGCTCAGTGGTCTAAAGCACCTCCTAGGTAAGCTTAGGCAGTGTAGGGACTGTAGTTTGATCCCTGGTACCACATGCTGCACCAGCCCTGCCATAGGTGGTCTGAGCCGGCCACAAAAAAAAAAAAAAAAAAAAAAAGAGACAGGATTGTACTATGTAGTCAAGGCTAGTTTTGAACTCACTATGCAGCCCAGGTGGGTCTCAAACTCATGGTGGTGATTCTCCTGCCTCAGCCTCTCAAGTGCTGGGATTATAGGAATGAGCTACCACACCCAGCTATTTATGTTTTTAAAGTATCATTGGAAAATTTGTATACAGATAGAGTTTTAAATGAAATTAGGGATTTACTGTTAAGTGTGATAATAGCACTGTGGTTAGTATTTAAGTGTTTGTAATGAAATGACATTATATCTGTGTTTTACTTTAAAATGTTCCAATGGGGGGGTGGAAGGTTGGAGAGATGAAAGAATCCAGGCAAAATGCTGATGGTTATTAAACCTAAGTTCATAAGAGTACATTTTTTTACTTTGGTATGTCTAGAAACTTTCTTTTCTTTTTATGTATTTAATGCAGGGTCTACAGGGTCTCACTACACAGATCAGACTCCTAGTGATCCATCTGCTGTCAGCTTCCCAAGTGCTGCGATTATAGGTGTGCACCACCTCGCCCAATCTCAATCCCCTTTGGTGGAGCTGGCATGGCAAGCTGGGGATCGAACCCCGGTCCCTGTGTCTGTCTAATAAGGCAGTTTAATCCACTGAGCTATGTGGCCGGCCCTAGAAGAAATTTTTTTTTTAGAAATTTTTAAAGAAAAAAATTCTGAAATACCAGATGATAGATCAGGTGAGAGCTCCCTGCAAGCCTCACTATTCTACGTCACGGAATCTAGAACATACAAGCCATAACCATAAAGAGAAATCTAATTCTTCCTTCCTCCTTTGAAATTTAGCCCCTATTCCTCAGTTAAGAAAATGATTAGCAAAAGACAAAAATCCAATTTATCATGGCAATCAGGGAAATGCAAATTAATACCACATATTGAAAATAGTATCACTTCTAAAGTCTTCTCTGTCTCCAGAATTTAGGAATAAATAACTTGAAAGAAGGACCAGGGATATAGTTCAGCAGCATATGTGCCTGTCTGGAAAGTGCAAGGTCTAAGTTTGATATCAGTACACACACACACACACACACACACACACACACACACACACACACAAAAGAAATCCCCACAACAGATCCCTCCACAACAACAACGAACAAGAGTATTGAGATTAATTAGATTAAAAACTAAAGATATTATTGAAAATAACATTTCTTATATCCTTTGTAACTGTCCAAACAAAACAATTTTCTGTATATTAAAACTTGAGAAGCAATAGTAACTGCGACACTTAGTCTAAGAAAGTTTATTTATTGTCTAAATTTGGAATACTATTTCAAGTTTCAGGTAAACTGGATCCAGGATTCTTAGGACTGAGGCAGATCTGAGAAATCATTTCTTGCCTCTGCTAATTCCTGAAAATAAGTACTCAACTTGTTTTTACAGCTCATCATTCAAAAAAATGTTAAAACTTCTCTAGTACTTTATTTACTTAGCCTAAGTATAGGCCATTTACAAATCTACTTGGCACAGGAATTTCTCTCAGAAATAGTCTTCCTTAAGCTTACACTGTACCTTTTTTTTTTTGGCGGAACTGGGGATTGAACTCAGGCCCTTGCACTTGCCAGGGAAGCGCTTATTCCACTGAGCCATCTCCCCGGCCCCTTTATACTGTACCTTTGCCTTCAATTTCTTTTCACTAACAATCTTACATCATGTCCCTGCACATATGCAATGTTTATCTCCACTGAAGCTACAATATAAAGATTTAATGTCTAGACAGGCAGCTTAGCCATTCTGTCAGAGGGAAAGGATAAAAAGTATGTAAATACTCAATTTTAGCCAAAAGAATATAGCAAAGTCAATAGCTAAGCTTAAAATGGACTTTAGATGTAACACTAATCATTAAAGAACACTGTCTTTAAGGAATTAAGTTTGAGGAAGTTTAAATTAAAAAAATGTCTGCATATAAAGTTATTAGTTAAAATGCATAAATTATATTCTAGGTGTAGCCATTAAGCACCATGATTTGCTGGGGATGGTGGTGTATGCCTGTGATCCTCATTATTTGGGAAGCAGAGTCAGGAGGCTTGCCAATTCAAAGGCAGCTTGGGCTACATAGTGAGACATTATCTCAAAAAGAAAAAAAAGAAGGAAAGAAGGAAGGAAAGAGAAAGAGAGGGAGAGAGGGAGAGAGGGAGAGAGGGAGAGAGGGAGAGAGAGAGGGAGAGAGAGAGAGAAAGAAAAGGGCTGAGGATATAGTGCAGTGGTAGAATGCTAGCAGAGTTCAATTCTATCTCAGGCAAGCTTAGGAAAGTGCAGGGACTGTGGTTGGATGGATCCCTGGTACCATATGCCATGCCAGCCCTGCTCCCCCCAAAAAAAAAAACAAACAAACAAGCAAACTA